ATCGCTTAACGATTTCGTTCTCGACTTTGCTTAGAATTCGACGCCAATTCGTTGGAATCGCGTTCGGATACTCGATTTGATCTCTCCCTTCCTTCCTTTCACCTTTCGAAGACACCGCTTAGATTTAGACTTATATATAAAAATATAAAAATTTTCTCCCTTTCCTTCGAGGCAAGTCGCGATCCTCCTCTCTTCTCCCCTCCTTGCAAAGGAATTTCGTAAAACTCGAGTTGGCGAGTTTCCATACCGATTCCTTGGGACGATTCGTATAGTTTCCAATTGTAAATTAAGTTTGTAAATTGAGTAAATTGAGTTTGTTACACGAGGGCTGAAATTGTGGAAAGCGTTGGGTCGCGTGATGGGGGCGAGTAAGAGAGTCGTCGTCGTCCTCGTCGTTAGCCGATAATAGCGCCGACATCGGGAACGTGCGAACGAGGCTTGGAGGCTTGGCGAGGTGATTGTCTGATTTCGCTTCTCTCACGAGCGAGCTGCCTCGACCGCGGATGATCCCGCGGCTCGAAACCGAGCATTACCGAGCATTACGCGCCGCGTAGAGGCGGATCGTTTACGCGAACGCGCCGCCAGGCCCGATTAATACACGCTTCCTTTCCTTACGGAGATAGGAGAGAGGGAGAAAGAGACAGAGAGAGAGAGAGAGAGACGCGGTTAGGTACGCGGCGATTTACATATCGCGCATGTCGGCCCACTTGTCTCCAGGCATTTTGCCTGCACGGCATCGAATTACCCCGCGAAAATCGGGGGCGCCTGCTGCTGCTACTTCGCCGTGAAACGCAGGAACGAGATATCTCGATAACACGCGCGCACGCGGTTACGTATATTGGTGGAAAGAAGGGTTCGACAAGAGTTCGATATGTTCGCTTCAAACGCTTCGTTGACAATCCTGACATCGTACGTTAGCAATGGTAAAAGAGGTATTGAACAAAATCTCAAAATTATTAAAAATCATTCGTACAATTATTATCTTATTATCCAGTCGAAAAAATTACATTTATAAATTAAACTAACTATTACGAGAAATAAAAAAAATATTGTTATATCGATACGTTAGAATTGTCTGGATTCTATCTGGCTACGCTAATGAGTAATTTAGATTTAAATACGCGAGGAATAGAAAGAAAAATGAAAATAATTTCCTTTCGCGAGACTTCTTTCCACCACGTGCGTACGTATACATATATCGGGAGATAACAGTCTTCGCGTTTGGAACGAAGGGAGTTTAATATAGGTAGGAAAGATCGTTTCCGTTTGAGAGGTCTGTTCGATACGATCGGATGTATCGAGTTATCGTATATACAGGGGAACGAGGCTATTAGAGTACATAATTCGGTCGTAAAGGAGACGCGATATCGGGGTCAGAATGGCCCTAGAACGAAGGCCTATGCGATGGCCTCGCGCCACTCGAAACGGGAAATAGAGTTTTCACCGCGAACGTTGGTCCATCGGGGCCATTAACCGGGCCACCGATCGTACGTTGCGAACGTAACTGCCTGCCTCCGATCTTGCTCCCTTCCCCTGCAAACCTGCAACCGGTTGAGTGGATATATATCCCTGGAGGAGCGGGGTATCGAAGAGGGATCGTCGATCGATTTTATCCCCATTAAATACGCGAATTTACGTTTCGCGTTCTAGAGGCGATCGGTGTTTTTATCGCTCGTGAAAACGGTTTCAGTAACACGTCACAACCAATAACGCTTCTCTTTTCTTTCTTTTCGTAAGAAGGAACTGCGTCCCGAGGAAAACGAGCCTCGGTATCTTCTTCGATCCTCGCAATGCGGAGGATAATTCTTTCTCTCTCTCTCTTTTTTTTTTTTCACGCAACGCGCGGAATCGAGAGTGATAAAGAATCGGATACGATAAAACGGGGGATTACACGTACGAGAGAGAGAGAGAGAGATAAACGATCCCTCGATCACTTTTCGAGGCATCGATCAGCGTTCATAGAATGCTACGCGGGTATCGAAACGGCCGTAAACCTCCGCCACCTTGCTCACCTGCTGCGTTAGTGGCTGCCTGTTGCCTTAACGACGCTGCGCGGACAGGTAGTGAACGAGAGTAACCGTTAAACTATCGAGTTTATCGCGCAGAAGATCGTAAAATCCGGCACGGGTATCCTGTACGGGCTCCCGATTTTCAACTCCGGCCCTCGCTCCCCCGACACGAGCGATGAATCATAGCGATCCAGGCCGAAATTTGCTTGCCTCTTTTCTTTTTTCTTCTTCTTCTTCTTTTTTTTTCTTTGTAACATTATTCTCTGAGAGAAGAGATAAACGCGGCTCGAATTTCTCCGTCCGGAAGAAGTTGCTTCCCTTCCGACGATCCCTTTATTTCTTCGACCGTTGGCTTCCCGACTTGGCGAAATTTTCACGTCGTCCAGGGACGCGTGAATTTGGCCGTGAGAAAGTGGACGGGACGGGACACAGAAGGGTACAGGTGCGGACAAGCCGCGGTCGGTCGGAGATTTATCGGTGGACGATGGAGGATTTGTAAACTCGCGTAGCTTGGAAACGATTATCCGAAAGAGGCGATGGTTCAGAATCCTTTCTCATCCTTTCCTCTCATCCCAGACGGTCGTTCTTTCTCCTCGTATTATCAACTCCCACGATCTTTGCGCGAGAAAGGAAAACTTTTCCTCCAGGCTTGGTAAATGGTTTGAGTACGTAGAGATAGAGAGAGAGAGAGATAATTAACTCGATGGTCGAACAACTGGCCAACGATTTCTTGTTTCTTTCGATCCCAGATGGCTGCCCTCTTCTCCTCGTCATATCGACCACTTAAACGGCCCGACTTAAGCCGCCTGGGGAGCTCGCTTCTGCGAATCCAGCGGAAAGAAGCCTCGAATGTTCGGTTCGAAGACGATTTCTTGCAAGATTCCAAGAATTGGAATAGCTCGAGTGGGCAAAAATGCGGACGCTTTAAGTGTCCAATATCCGGTGTCAACTCGCGGATCGATCTTCGAAACGAGCTCCCTTCCAACCACTTCGATAAAATCAATTGTACGAAAGAGAAAGAGTATCCAGCCGATGAGATGATCGGAACGAGTAATGCCAAAATAGCACGCTCGAAACTATATATTTTTACTCTTTCTTTTACTGATGAATCTCTTCGAACACGATTTATACGTTGAACGATAAAACGGTTAAAAGATTTTAAAATTATTCGCTTGAAGGGGGGACAGAGAAGGGAAGCGCGTTTATAGGAAGATAATTAGCACGAGTGGCAGTTCGAACGTCAAAGAACGAGATCTCTCTGTCGGGGAAAACAGTGTCCAGAGAGGTTGGAGATGAAAGCGGGAGTACGTTGCAATTGTTGGCCTCGTCTGTCGCAACGGGAAGCAAAGTCGGAGGCTCGAATTATTTATGCCCTCGTTTTCGAGGGGAAAGGGGGTGCGCAATGAATGCGCGCAATGGACGATCGAACGGGGTTGCGCTCGAAGACGTTCGGAAGGGCCGATAATTTGCTCGGTTTCCAACCATCTCGGGCGTAATTTAACTTACGGAGGGCCGACTGGAGCGGCAGCTGTGCCCCAAAGGTTGCGGACACGGGACCGCAGAGTCACGATAAACTCTCATAATTCACCGAGGCGATATCCTGGTAAGGCGTATAAAGCCGTCGGTAAAGCGCGTCGGGGAAATTTCGTATTGAATCGGAGAATGCCCGTTTCGTAACATTCGTGTATATGTATATGTATATGTATATACATATTACACGCGGCTATATACGATTATTCATGCTCGACCATTGTACGTGCTCGACGCGGGATCTATCGCGCGCGTCGTAATATTCGTCGGGGACGGACAACAGATGGAAATTTTGATACACGGCGCGCAGCCAGCCGGCAGAGTAATGAGTTCCATGTGCGTGAAATTCCTTTGAGTGGAAGAAGAGAGAGAGAGAGAGAGAGAGAGAAAAAAAAAATAAATTAGTGGAAAAGAAAGTTGTCGAGTGTGCGCGAGAATAGGAAACTCTCGCTCGTTGAATGGAATATCGTAAACTCGACGAGCTCGAGAGAGGAATCTTTTTTACAAATTTCTTTCTTTTTTTTTTTTTTTCTTTTTTAAATCGAGATCGCACGCGCTTGGTTCACGGAAAGATGGATCGCGAGTTGATTCCACTTGATGAAAGCGATCGTTGCATCGCGAAGCGATAACCGTGGAGGGGGTGAGCGTAATGATCCGGCGGTGGATCGATCCGTATTGTTGTTGTCGGTTTCCTAATTGCGAACTGTTTCACCGTGGAATAGGCGCGACGCGCAATCCGGCATTGGTCGGTGACGGTGGTGATGGTGGCGGTGGCGGCGGCGGCCGCACAATAGATTCGGTTTGATGCATCGCCGGGGCGCAGGAGACCGTTAATTTCGTGCCCTCCTGGGCCGCGCCGCTCCTACGCCAACCGTCCGATTGCCCTTCTGCCCGTCCACCGTCGTTCGCGTTAATAACTCATCCAAGTAAATAATAGTGTTTGCCAAGATGGACCTCGATCCCCCTCCTAGCCAATCCCCAGTTTGTCACCACCGAGATTCCAAACCATCGATCGATTTCGCCCCGTTAATGTTATCTCGATCCATTGTTACGAATTTGTAAACGATCTCTATCGATCGAACAGCGTATACTCGAATCGATGCAAGATGATCGATTTGGCTGGAAAATGATCGTTTCGAGTGTCTGTAATCGAAGAACTGAACGCTCGTCCAAAAAGTTGGACGAATCGGGGATTTCGGAACGTAATTTAACCGCGTTTGAAGAGGGATGACGCGTTTACTTTGCGCCCAGAGAAATTATCGTAGCGTGTACTCGACGATAGGTTTAATTGGGAGGAACGACGTGTGCGAGGGTGGCGTACGTCTAATGTTTACTTTTGCTAACGTTACCTAGATCTCGGTGGAGTCGTCTCTCGGAGAGAGAAACGATGGCGCCTATTGATTGTTGGAACGTTGTTGGACAGAAGAAGCTGAGGCTGACGTGTTGCTCGGTTTTTTCCAGAAACAATGCGAACGTGGACGCCCCGGCCGCGGTACCCCCTCAGAAGAAAGAGCCGCACGAGAACATCGCCCGGATAGCGAAGCGGTATCTCGACGATAACATGCAGCAGGCGTGGATCAATCCTCGTCTAATATCGATGGTGAGTGAATATAAATGCGGTGATTACACGGTACGTTAGACGATGATACCGGTGCCTAACGTTCTCACGTTCCAATCCTGGCAACGATCCATTATCCCTCCTCCTCCCTCCTCCACGCACGCGCTCGGCTGTAATTTCAACCGGACAACAAATTAGCCCCTCCGCGAGCAGGCGAACGAGTCGACAAGTTTTTGCGATAATCTCGCTTCGCGCCGACTGTCGAACGAGACGAGGGGATTTAATTGCGAAATCCCGACCGAGCTTGTTGATCGGGAACGATTCTCGTCCGCTTTTCCGCCATTTTCCGCCATTTTGAATTCCCAACCAAAAACTTTACCGATTTCGAACAACCTTTCCTCTCCAGTCCGCTCCTCGTAGTCGCTTCTGTCCCTCCCACCGTAGTACCTATATACATATATATTTCGAATACCGCGAGAATAAAACGTTCCTTCCCCGTTAAATTCCACCTGAATTGGTGGACCGCGCTTCAGACTCGAATCAGAGTCGCGCTTCAACGACTAATTTAACTTGGCGCGTGTGTTGGAACCACGGGTTCGTTGGCTCCTTACTTATCGCCCGTTTCACGTTCCACGAAGTAGAGCTCGCTTCGATCTCGGAAAAGGAAAGCGTCGAAATTGGAAAATTTGATTTGGGGAGGGGGCAGGAGGTCCAGCTATTTATTAAACGGCCGCGTTAGAATTTTCATCGGAACGGTTATTGAAATTCCGCACCCGCACCCGTTCCACTTTGTACTGCGATATATATATATATTCGGATGACGGGATGCGGCAACAGAGCCGTGTTTATATATCGGCGTTCACGCTGGACTTGGCCGCGTGGAGAACAGCAAGTAGAACGGACGAGTCATTAAAGCGAGCCAATAACAAACTCGTGATCCGCATAACCCTTCGTTATGTCCACACCGGTTATTAGCCCATGCCTAGGCGGCGAATCATCGCTGTTGCGCCGATCCTTTCGTAATCCCAACTCGTTATATTCTCTCTCTCTTCTTCCCCTCGATCTTCTTCTCCGCCCTTTTTATATACACCTATTCCATATACCTTTTCCTCGCGTTCCCAACTTACGTAACCTCTCCTCTCCTCGCGCTCGATATAATTCGACCCGCACACCTGCGTTGCAACTCGCAGTGGCGTAATATCGTGTATGTCGATATTCGAATATCAATTTACTATCATTATTATTATTTTTCTTTTAATTACTTCCTCTCGTCAATGGACAAGAATTGGAGGATATGTTGCGTAAACAGAATTCGCCTCGTTCACCGGAGGTGGAAAGTCACGAAACGCATCTCGAGCGACGCGATGAGCGGTGACAGGCCGTCGTCGAGCCACGCGCGAAATAACGAACGTTGCATCTGCGTATCGTCGAGTCGGTTAAAATCGATGTGTGCGTGTGTAGTGGTACGCAGGAGTGGAACCGTCTCGCGCTGTCGTCGCAACGCTAACTCTCCAGGATTTACGATCGTTCCGTTCGTTACTTATTGCCGCCGGGTTCATTAGCATAATCGGCCCGCTTCGAGGATAGATCGCCCCGTGGAACCGGATCATCGCTCGATTCGATCGGTTATTCGAGTGATCGTTTTCGAGACGAGGCGGCCGGTCAGTCCCGCCATTTGTTCGATGGAGAGTCGTGGCGAGATGGAGACACCGACGGAGGATGCGCGCGTCGCTTTATCTTGCGCGGTTCATTAAGGGACGGGAGAGAAACGAAGTATGCTGTTGACAAATCGGATGAGGGGATTTGGGGATATATTTCTCATAGGAGGGATTTAATTTCGTTGATTCTTGTGGATTCTAAGGCAAAACTTGTTCGCTTGTCGGCTTTCGCGTGGCTTTCAGTGGTCGAGAGTTTAGAGCTCGATAGCCATTTTCCCCAAAATCGTTCCCGCAGGAAGATCGCTCGATTATCCCACGATTATCGTCCTGAAATTCGAGACGAATTCGGATTAATGGCGGAGAATAAACTATTATTCTTGGAGTTTCCGCTTCCGCGGGGACTCGGAACGATTTCCATATTCGGAATCCACTCCGGGCTACCGTCTAAGGGGAAAGCTCTATACTAAAGGGGAAATTCTTGAAGGAGAAAAACCGACTAAGAAAGGAGGAATTCCAGAAATAAGCAACAACACAGAAATACCAAAATAGAATTCCAAGGATAAAAGGAACGGTGCAGGGATACCGAAAAAGAGGTATTTTAATTGCAAACGTTCGAAATCGTGAAAGAGGAATTTCAGCGATAAAAAAAAAAAAGAAAAAAGAAAAATACATATATATACAAAATTGGAAGAGATACGAATAAAAGTAGAAAAGTTTTCGCAAATAACGATACGCGATACACGAGAATGCCGGTAACGTTAATTGTCGATGTAAGTATAGGAGACGCGATATGCTCGAGCCGCACACATGTAGATAGGCGTGTATAATTTGCCGCTAAGGTTATCTTGTTGCAACCGGTTCTGAATTCCTTCCCTGCAGATTTTCTTCTGCAATATCGATAACCACAGTTCCTGCGAGAGACGATGTTGCAATCGAGAAGACAGATACACAATTATATACGCGCCGTGGGTTTAATACATTCGGTATTCGAACGAGGTTCTTTCAATTTCGATTCGAATTATCGACGAGGCGGGTGGGGGGACGAGAGAGGTTAGAAATAAATCAGACGTCCTGTTGTCTCGGGAAAAGACGAGGCGTGGAAAGAGGGGCGATATATATATATATATATATTTGTTGGGGTGGCGATTAATAGCGCGGCGAGGAAAGTTAATTAAGGAACGTACGAAACAAGATTCATTCGCAGTTCTCGTCAGCCATTTAATAATCTCGAAAATTCGGACGATTAGGAGAAGGGGGGATTGCAAAAACGTATATATACGTTGGTGTATCTATACGAGGCACGTATACGTATACGGAGGAGCCGTCTATCCCGACGCGATTCCCCGAGTGCCCTGCACTCACTTCCTCTAATAACAATAATAATAAGAAGGGATGGAGGCCCCGTTTTAATCAGAGGGTCTGCCTGCCTGACGTGATTAACTCGAAGAGCCCAGGGAAGACGAGCGGAAAGAGAGACAGAGAGAGAGTGAATGGAAGGGCAAAGAGGATGAAGGTAGAAGAAAAGGGGGAGGGGGAAAGACGCGGGATGGCTGCTGTCATTTTCGGTGTTTATCATATCACCGAGCCGATGAGGGGGCTTGATTTCGTCGCCTCTCGCGCGGCAAGATGGGGTTAAATCTTGGATTTCACGGCCGATTTGTACCTCCCCCCCCCTCTCCTCCTCCTTCCCTCCGCGTCTTTTCTTTTTTCCTTTTCCTTTTTTTCCTCGCCCTTTTCGCCCATTACTCAACCGTTGGAGCGTAGAAAATGCTCAGAGTGGCCTCTCTCCCCTTTTATTTTCGCCGTGGCCGTTTTCCAGCCGACGGGAGATAGTACGAGTATTATTATTACGTAATGTTAATGCAGAGCCGTTGACTTTATCGGGACAGCCATAAATCGAGCTCGCGCGACGACAGCGAGTAATAAGGGAAAAAGCGGATAATTAAGTCTTGTCCGAGCACCGGTGAATTATTTCTTCGATAGTTGTTGCACTACCATGTTCCATACCACGTACGATATCTCGATATATATCGTTATACTCGTACAGTATATGTATATATACTATATATATATATATATATATATATATATATGGCGCTTAGTTCCCATAGGATCCACGCGAGAAACGTAATAACGTAACTCCCTCTCCCTCTCACCTTCGCTACCTCCACCTTTTGTTGGCGATTTTACCGCGGACAATTTAAAAAAGAAGACTGAAAGACGAACGTTATTATGCGCGCTATTCAAAAACGCGGCGGAGCTTGTTCCTCTGCTCGGAGGAAGAAGGAGGGAGGGAGGGAGGGAGGGAGGGAGGGAAGGATTTCGCTTCTCTTCGGAGGAGAAGACGTCGCTCCTCTTCTCCGGAATTAAAGTCATGTCTATGGGGGTCCCGACATTGAGAACGTCTCCGCTATTTCTCTTCTCCGTGTCCCGCCCTGGCCTTGCGTCTCGCGCTCCACCTTGGACGTCTAATTAACAAGGTTTTCCTGAGGGTTTTCAAGGCTCCTTTCTCGCTCCTACCGACAACCGTGAACCGACGACGCAGTAAATACCGTCGTCGCCGCGTGGCAATCGACCCCTCAGCGATGGCCCCCTCCCCTCCCCTCCCCCCAACTCTTATCGAGCATCCCTTCCCGATCCCCCATTATGCTCGGTGAATTTTACGATAGAACACCTTCTCGATATTTCTCCCTACGTAATTTCTTCCACGCGCAGTGGAAGAATCGGGAGGGGAGAGGCAGGCGGGATCCTCGATGGCGCGGAAGAAACTGGTTTCTTCCGAGTCGAAGGAATCCGCCGAGTCATCCCTGAATATACTGAAATTACACCGGGGTGCGATGACTTCTTAAGCGGTATCGCCGTCCCTTCCTCCGTTTTCCCAACGGATTCCACTCGTTTCGCGTCCGATGAATATTTATATATTCTCCGTCGAGAACATTTTTTCCTTCGCGCGCTTCCTTTCTTCGATTTTCCTCTTTCTTTCTTTCTTTCTTTCTTTCTTTCTTTCTTTTCGTCCCCAAAAAAATCGTATCCCCGAGGCGAGTATCGATCGGGCTCGAGCCGCCAAGTTGAAGGTTACGAAAAACCAACGGTTTGGTGGATAGATAAGGTTGAGGGAGGTTGGATAGGAAGGAGGTTGGTTTAATATTCCGCTTTGTTCGGTTCATTAGCGCGGCACAAAAGTGGCTTAAAAATAATTGAGTCTACGCCGGTTATAATAGCCATTCTGATATCCCATTGTCGCTTGTCCGCGGACTCTTGATTCGCGTCGTTATCAATGCCTGCTTATTTCCCTCATTGTGAGTCGCGCGCACCCTTTGTTTTTGTTTAATTTTTCAACCCCTCCGATATCTTCCCTCACCACGCTCATATATATATATATAT